CTGGGAGAGGAGTACACTAATGGTGCAGGACAAGAAATTGGAGGCTTGTTTGGCTTCAAGGAATAGAACCCATCATACTTCCCTTTCACAATATCTTCATCATTTTCATCTTTCTGAACAACCAAGTTGTTCAATGGAACATGGGATTTCAGTCGCGCCCTCCCATGCCTGAGAAATCCACCCTGCTTGTTAATATCTCTCAGATGTTCCTCCTTGAAGCTATATGTTTTCAACATGGATTCTCTTGGAAAATAAACACAAAATCCAATCAGCAAAACAAGAAGGGGAAAAAAAATGTTCAAAGCTGTTTTTTGAAGATATTAACACAGAAATCTCTCTTGGGCATTTCATCAAACACAATCAATGGACAAACCATAGGAATTAACAAACAGGCTGAAAATAAGTAAATTTACCCAAAAATCTATGGAATCAAATACAGGGTATAATCAAGAACACAAAATCTTGGGAACCCATAGCAGAGATGAGCTTTAAAAGCCCCATGCAGAAGAGAAAAAGGGGAATCATGCAGTCAAGAACACTCACCTTGAAAATAAGGTTTTGCAAAGAAGAGTTTTTTTCTTCAAGAATTCAACTGTGAGGCTATGCTCACCAAGCAATAAATTGACTAGTATTAAATGGCCACTTGGGTATTTATATACGGATGGAGTTCGGACTGTAAGGCTTTGCCACCTTTGAACGGTCAAAGTCAATGGGCGCATAGAGAAAAAGAAAAATGTATATTAGAAAAAAAAATCTTTGTGGAAAATGAGAGACAATTTTGGGGCAAATATTTATTTTACCCACTTTCTTATCTTACACGTTTCAAAATTTTTTTTTGAGTTACTCGGTATATTATTTTCTATGCGCTTATTAATTTCTCTCTTATTCAAATAAATCTTGGAAAAATTTATTTAAATGGTACTAAAATATAGTGATTTTCTCATTGTAATATCATATGTTTTTATTTTCAAACATACTACCACGGGTCATTATTCAAGTAAATATCTAGCATCATTGGACATCATTCAAATTAAATGTCCACCATCACTGAGAATTATTTTCACCACTAGACATTATTCAACTACTATTTAGGGAACAAAAAGGTTTAAGTACTACATTGGAAAATGACATAGGTTTTAATACTCCCTCCGTCCGGAAATATTCTTCCCACTTTCCTTTTTGGTCCGTCCGGAAATATTCTTCCCATTTCTTTTTTTAGTATACTTTTTAAGGATAAATATCAATAATACCCTTCTATTTTATCACAAATATACTTTTTTAGTACTTTTTTAATAATAAAAGGAGATTTAAAAGTTTATAGTATGTGCATTTTTGAAAAATTTGCATTTTTTTTACTATTCCTTAATAAGCGTGCCAAGTCAACACGGGAAGAATATTTCCGGACGGAGGGAGTACTATTCAGTACAAATTTCACATAAATTTTAATCCATTCTTTTTTTTTTCAATTTTTAGTATTTTTCTTTAACTTTGTGCAAATTAAATGAGTATTTTTTTTTAAATGAAGGAGGAATATAAGGGTACAGTGAAGGCTGCATGAGTGAGCTTCCATGAAAGCTCATAGGAAGGGCAGAAGAAGCTGGGAATTGAGACTCGGGTGAAACTGTTTTGGAATTTGTGACCAAAATAGATTTGGCTTTCAGGATTATAATTATTGGTTGATATTCTTTTTTTTTTTCTCTTCTTTAATACAGTATATAATATCTCAAACTTAAGATGGGAATAAAAGAAAACGTAAAAAAGTGCTAGAGAAATGAAAATTACAATAAGTGTCTGGATAAAGGAACGAAAATACTAGAGTCACCAACAAATAGTTCACAAACTTGTCTTTTGTAGATTTTAAATTAAAATTTTTTTTTATTCTTTGAGTGCCTCTTATTTTTAGTAAAATATTAAAAAGACAAGTTTTTAAATTTTATGAACTGTTTGTCTTGTGACTCATTACTCACAAAGAAATGGGAATGAGAAATTTGAATTTATTTCGTGACAGTTGTATTTAGAATGAAATCTTACACATATTAAGAATAGATCTCCTTGATTTATTACTTATTAGACCAAATTTATAGTTCATTTATAGATAAATTTCGGATTGATTAAGGAGAACCCTAATAATGGGTTCTATATGTATATTTATACTCCATCCGTCCTAATTCTTTCTTCCCAGTTTGACTTTTCTCCATTTTTAATTTTTGGTTTTGACTTCAAATTTTACCCTCCTTAAAAAAGATTTTTTGAAATTTTTTTTTGCAACCATTCAAAATATAGAGTTAGAAGATAATTGGTGTAAATACATGAGGGTATTAATGTCATTTGTCATCTTTCTTTTTCTAATGGGAAGATAGTTTTAGGACGAGGAAAAAGGGGAAGTGGGAAAAGAAAGTTTTAGAACGGAGGGAGTATATTGAATTAAGTTATTTATTGAAGTCATAATATAGCTCATGTTTGGTCCAAGCACCCGACACACGTTGAGGAGGGACAAAGTTTGTCGGAAAGTAAGAGTCTAATACTCCGTATAATAATGCTTTAAGAAAGAAGTCCGGAGTTCATTCTTGACTTTACTCGGGCGCACACCGGGAAGGGAGAACGGGAAAGGCCACGTTGCACGGGAATAGAAGTGGAACACCGCCCTATGCCGGAACGAGAAAAGCAGGACACTCAATGTGAAGGGGAAAAGGGAAGGGAAAATATTTTCCTCGAAAGGAAAGTGGCTCGAAAATGGAAAGCTGAAACTGATATGGCGCTGAATTGAGAAAAGGGGATAACCAAACCCTAATACTTACGGAGTATGTGCTAATTAACATACATCAAATGAGCCATAAGTTCTTTTTAGTAAATGAAAAGTGAAATTTATCTTGAGACGAACGAGAAAGATACTATATGATCAAGATTTTTTCTAGGATATAAAGAATATATAATTTTTGCATTCAAAGTTTTAGATGAACTACCTATATAATTACTACATGAAGCTTATTATTTTTTATTTAAATCCACCCTTCTCAATTAATTTTGTTATCGAATGTTTTATGATTGTTAATGTAACACTTTGACAATCAATAACTATACATGTACATAAATAAATATCGAAAAGATATTGTATTTCAAAATTAATCTCGTTAGATTATACTCTATTTACATTACTATTAAACATATTTTACATATCAAGGAAAGTTCAATTGAGGTTAGTGCACATTTATCTATAAAAATGAAAGAAACATAAATTTAATATTTTAATTTGACTTTCTTGATGAAAGATTTTAAACTTTAATTTCGAAATATGGGGAAAAAGTTGTGTTTCAATATAAATGCAATATCAAAAATTTTCTTTTGAAATGTAACTTTAAAATATTAAAATTTTTAAAAATATATTTATGCATAAATGTCGATGTTAATTATTAAATAATAAGATTAAATCCAGACGAAATGTGTAAATGATTAAATGTGAAGAAACAAAATGAAATCAAATAGGCGGACAAACCCCTAAAAAAATAGGCCGATAAATTAAAGTCAAATAGAAAATAAAATTCTTTTATATTCAAACTTCTAAGGCTAGCTTTAGGTTGATTGGATTTTCAAATTCTATCTTTTGACTAAAAAAAATCACTCCGTAATTTTTAGTTTTCTATGCGCTTCCTTTTAAAATTCAAGACATTCTTTCGGAATTTTTTTAAATTTTGTTTTGATACTCAAACTTTTCATGGACCGTTTTACCATGTGAAAAGATATGGAGTTATGGAATATTGAAAACATTGATAAAGTCACTCGGTCAATAGTGAAACAATTATTTGAAAATAAATATTTTTCATAATAAAAAAAATGTATCCTTGCATCCCAAAATAATAGTAGTAACATCTTTAAATTCTTTTAGGGTTGTCAAAAATATAAATAACAACTTTTACGGCGTACTTATTATTAAATTAATCTCCCTACATAGCAGTAAAAAGGAATGAAAATACTAAGATTGGATCCTTAAATCTTTCGAGACCAAAATTAAATAAAAGTAGTGTGATGTAAAAATGATGACAGTGTAGTATGACAGTGTGATCAGTCAACTGTCAGTCTTGGCACTATCGTCAAATATAAGATCATCCCTCGCCATTTATGAATATCGTCAAATGAGTTATTTATCATTTAAGTCATTTTACTTTCACGAAAGAATATTTAACTTATAAGCAGTTTATAAGTTGAAAACAGTTTATCCGCAATAAACCAATAAGCACCAATATCATCTATATTTAAAGACTTTCATAGAATGACACTCACTTTCATGACACCAAAGAAATGCAATAACTTTTTAGCCTTATAATTGTGTTTATGATGACTTCTTTGCTGAGATAGATAAAGAAGAAACTTCATTGTACTCCCCAGTAATAATTAGTTTAAGACCATGACAAAACTCTATTGCATCACAATTGAGTATTTCCTTTATGAAATGCTTCTATTAGTGAAAAAGAAACAAGCCACACAAAGGTGGGCTAATCAAGAATGAGCACAGAAAGTATCAATGGCATGAACAAAAGATTACATTCCAAGAAAAAAAGGACCAAAAGATAAAGCAGTTTGCAGCAATAAGCAATGAATGATAAAGTCCTCAAGGAAGCCATAAACTTAGACTGTTTCATAAAGCAGTTCATATTTGGAAGAAAATATAAGCCAGAAGAGCTATATAAAGTTTTGTAGTTCTATAACACAATTCAAAATCTAGAGGCAGGAGATGTATCAATGAGAATGGAAAGTGTATAATAGACTTCTGTCACAAGCATTTGCATTTACTACCCAAAGCTTCATAAAAAACTAAGAGCGAGTTTTCCGCTCCTCATTTAAACAATCTTTCAGCGACAAACAATAACCTAATCACTGAGAGAAAAGGATTTCACTTCATAACCATCCTCAAATATGCATTTTTCAGCAGATGCTATGTTTGGCATAGCTTAATTTGAGTTATATTCAAACTCTACTTTGTAAGATATAGAGAAACTTAAAAAATAATTCAGAAAACTTTATAAAAATGAATATGCACTCTTGAACATTTGTTTTAGATAATTCATACTAATCTATAATTACAATTCACAAAGATTTGCCAAAAACAGTCAATATATAGCAGTTCAGCATCCTGGTCTATGGCTAAGGATGGATCTGATCAGATGGCACAATACACATTTGACCTCAGAGAAAAGGGAAATGGAAATGGAAGGAAAACATAAAAAAGGCAAATTTAAATATATATCCATTTCAATTACAAGGAAAATAACATCAAGAAAGCATATGAAGTTCATAGAAAGGAGAAAGCTTTACTGCAATAAATGTCAGATCTTATCACCACCAGCCATGGATCACCTTGTAATACCTATCTTTGAGCCACCTGAAGCTTTTCCTGAAAGACCCTTTGACATTTCCCTCCACAGAGTAGACTTTATAGCTAGCAACTCTCCTCTTCCTCTGGAACTCAGGGTCATTCAAGCTCCAAGATTTTGAGATTGACCCATTACTGCTCTTCCCTTTCTTCAGCTTGGGCGGCGGCGGCGGCGGCGGGAGGGGAGGTTCCGCCGACGCACCATAAGGTAGAGAATTTGACCTGAAACCACGGTAGTCCTCCATCTGGTTTTGCATGTTCCTGCCATCGGCGTATGACCTTGATCTGTAATCCTCCATTTTGGGGGTTTTCTTAATTGATTTCTTTGGGTGGGGGTTGTGCAGTTTTGCAGTAGAGATTAGATGCAGAGATTTTTAACCCCCGAAAGAACGAAGAAGAAGGAAGAAAGATAAAAGATGAAGAAAATCAAGAAATTAGGTGCAAAGATTTGGTCTTGAGTATTGACTATGTGAAAATAATGGAAAATTGACATATACACGGAGAAGTAAAGTCGTCTTATTATAGATGAACTTCCAATTGCCTGTTCCAAGCTCAAGGACCGCCTCACTTTCCTAAGTTTGTTCTCCCCACATAAACAAGACTGGGCTGGTCAATTAGGCACATAACCAAATTTGAGAATGGTTACTCGAGATACTTGCTCCCTCCGTCCCCTGTATCCGTTCACTTTCATTTTTACACATCATCCAATACATTTCTTTAATTCATTTTATTTTGTAATTTGTATATTAAAAAATTATAAAAATTATATATTAATAATCTATATGTTAAGACAAATCAAACAAGATCACACATGACTATATTTAGGCTTACACATTGAGAGAATTTGATGAGTCAAAGTGCTTATATGAACAGTTCCAAAAGTCAAATGTGGACAAATACAGGGGGACGGAAGGAGTATAATGTTTTATTAAAAAATTTGATAGTTTTTATCAACTTAAATTCTCCCGACCCCTCCTCCTACCCCTCCCCCTCTCTTTACTCATTGACAGTATTACTGCAGCCAATTGGCAAAGGAAAGACAAGGACGACATAGAGGTTTAGGAAGGATTAGTTAGATAGAAATTCTAAATTTTTCGAATGGAATACTGTATGTGCTCTGGGTTATTTCATGACATTGAGGTCTAAAATCGTACATTCTCTCAAACCCTTCTTTCGTGGAAACAAGGGAGAAAGACCAAAGTATGACTAAAACATTGAAAATATACCAAAATAGGACTTCCATGTTTTTATTCCTGAAATAGGACTTACATTACCAAACATGGTCATATACATTACCAAGAAAGTATAGTAATTTGCACATGTACACTGCCACATTACCACAATGCAAAGTCACATTACCACAATGCAAAGTCCTATTCCGGGAAAAAAACATGAAAGTCCTATTTTGGTACTTTTCTCTATGTTTTAGTCCTATTTAAGATGATTTCTATGGAAACAAATGGTTGTTGTTATTGTTGTTGTTGCGGTTCTTATTGTTGTTGTTTGTGCGTGTTTGTATATAAAATAAAAATCAATTGAAAAAATGATATTTTGTCAAAAATTTCAACTAAACAATACACTTGTGAAGTAAAGATGCATAACAATTCGGTTTCCAAATCTTCAAAAATTTTATTGATTTTTTTTAAGAAAAAAAAATATATTTTTAACCTTCAAAGCACCAAGGTATTATTTGACATGTCTTCATCTCATTTTTAAACCAAATGGTACTGAATGATTTTTAATCGTAACAGTAACGATGCAATAAAAGATCCTATGGAAATACCCAAATACCAAACCACGCCCACCATTATTCCACCAATACGCAAAAGTGAAGAAGGGACTAAAAAGCATACAAAGTCACTTTCCCTCTCAATCCCAAGGGCATCATCATGGTTTTGGTTTTCCATTTCGGCAACATGTTTGTTTTGGAGTGATGTGAAGAGGAAACAAAACTGATTATATGCCATTTATGAAGTGCGATGTTATAACACCTTCATCCGATCATTTCATAGCAAATCTACAACAAGGAATCCAATAAAAATCCCACAAAAGTATGATTGGGGAAGGGTATTTGTACGCAGACCTTGTCCAGCACCCTGCTGGACAGTAGAGAGACTGTTTCCAAGAGACCTACAGCTCAAATCACACCCACTCATCCTAGTATGAGAATTCAAGAAAGCCATCAATCTTAAATCCTTTCAGAGTACAACATAATACACAACATCAGACTATATGGGCAACTCCAATAATCCTTGATTGATTTACAAGATGGAAAAAAAACAATATCATGAAACTTTAGTCTTTACTTCAATAAAAGGAAAAAACAGTTTTGACACATTGCTAACCTGCATGATATGGATTCATCTGTGAATGTTGAGCATGGCCTTTGCTTCAGTCTGCTCTGCAACCAAATCCTCACTGGCATATTTGCTCAAGAGGTCCATCTTCTTCTTCTGCAACACCATTCTCTCAATCTCCTTGTCATCCGGCAAGGGGACGTGCACCACAAACTCCTTTTCCTTTTCCCTCTCTCTTTCCCTCCTCTCCTCTTCCACCACGTCCTCTTCTTCCTCGAACAATATTTTCGCTCCCAAACCAACCTCTACCACCTCCCCACTCTTCACCGCCTTCCTTGCTTCTTTCTTTATCTCCTCCATATCCATCCACTCCTTCAGTGCAGCTGCCCTCATCTTCTCCTCTGCCGGCCCCTCCAACTTCTCCAGTATACCATCTTCATCATCTCTATACCCGTAGTAACTTGCGTCAATCCTCTTGTATATATCATACCTACGTGATTTCGACACAAGCAGTAAGCAACAAAACATAACATTTCCACAAAGATATCAACACAAGAGAACTATCGACCACACTGAAAGCAATTTTGGATAATCATAACCAAAACTTGTTATTTTATTAGGTTGGAGGTGAGCCTACGAACAACGCATCAAAGTCATTATTCCATACCAATTTGTCATGTTAACTAAATCATTCTGCAGGCAGGTATGAAGAACAAACTAGCTTTTGATGAACGCATTTTGAACACAAGACATGTAAATCCACTAGACAAACTCGCATACGTATCTTTGCGCTTGAAGAGATAGTTTCTTTATTCGTTAACCAGCACAATTTTGAAGTCAGATCGAAACCAGTGACAATGCGAAACTAAAAAAAAACTGAAGAGCACCAAAGAAACAAGGTAGTAGCACTTAATAAGGGCAACTAAACACAAGCAGGTGGGATAAAGTAAAAGTATGTCATGACACATCATTTATACTCCATTGCAAGTGAATTATACAACAACAAGGCACTATACCTCGTCCTTCTCTTCCGCAACTCAGGGGGCTTCTCAAACAATTCTCGAACTCCAGGCAACTTCTTGGCCGCACCAAAGTATCTGTAACCAGGCCCACGCCCACCTGGATTCGGGACATCAACAATATTTCCATCCAGATCCGTCATTTTAGCAGAATGCCTGGTGTGATTTGGTCCACCCAGCTCGACAATCCGCCTTTCCCAATGCACTTTCTCACGCAATAGCTTATTAATCTCATCGTTCAGATCACGAAGTCGGTGCTCCCCGAGACCCTCGTTCTGGATCTCTGCCACCTTCCGGCCAATTTCCCGCATTATTTGCTGCCTCCACTTGTCGGCCTCTGCAAGGTCTCTGCACTCTGATGCCAGGTAAGGTCGGCGCTCCTTCGGTTTCTTCTTTTCCTCCTCCTTCATGGAGATGAACCGGTTCAGCATCGACTGCGCTTTCTCCTCGTTACGAGCCATGGATGACGGAGAGGAATGGAAACCTAGATTCAATTTGAATTCAGTTATTGGAAGATTAGGTCGACTGATTTTACAATTTACACCCTGTCAAAAACTAAAGAGCAAGTTGGAGACCCAGGGAAGTGGGAAAAGAGAACTCCAATAATTAGAGGTGGAAATGAGCCACAATGCCACACTAAAGTATATTCTAACAGGTTTTAAATCAATAATTACAAAAAACAATTCTAACCATTTATTTTGATTTTTTAATACGTAGTACTTTTTAAAGCTTGTTTTAGAGACGAAGGGGCCAAGGGACTGTAATCAATTAAAAAGAGAATCTATATCTTTGTAAAATCAAAAAAAAAGTTGTGAATAGTATTCGAACCAAAAGGCTAAAATTATCTAATCACGGGATGAAAATGTAACTTTAAGTTATGCAAGAGCCATTTGTGATACAAGTGGGGATCTTTATGTACATGTGTAGTTGTAGTTTAGCATATATGGAGTGCTCACGAAACAGGAGAAGAACAAGATGAGTGTTACGTCACTTACGTGTGTTGGAGCGCCTACAAAATAAACCTTATTTCTTATCCATTTTAGTTTAATACTTATAAAACATATAGCTAGAATAAACAATGGTTGATCCACGAGATATACATTTTCATATTAAAATCAACTTTAAATTAAAATCAGTTTACTTATTGGCAGTTTCTATTCAATAAAATATGTATTACTTATTCTTATCTTTTCTCTTTTCGTTCGTCCTATAAACCTTTTCCACTTTCTGTTAAAAAACCATTATTACCCCTACTAATTCTTATCCTACCTATCACATCATATCTATTCACTAATAATCTAATCATCACATTCTACTTTTACCCATCACAATTCACATCAAGGATATTTTTGGACATGAGAAAAATAGAATACTTAAAAACCTATACTTGGAGTAAATTTGAAAACAGATTTGTTTTTAAACTTATAGTATACCTTCTTTAAAACAACACATAACATATTTGGGGGTAACCTATACTGTGATCCATTAAATTAAGTAACAGCGTGAACCATAAAATTAAAGGTAACACATAGTAGTGTGAAACTTATGAGACTTACGTCCATTCGTCCAAAGTCACTGACATTCTTAAACAAGTAACAGGACAAATGAAAGGGACTACGATTCTATATTCCAACCAAGAGTAATCATCAAACCAAGACGAAACAAAATTACATCTTTTCCGGCAAAATTCATAATTTTGGGGTGGAAATCATCTATTGAGATAACTACTATGTAATTTTCTGTGTATTTCATCTTGCGCATTTGGATGATAATCTATAATTCACTAATAGTTTGTTCTAACAGTTGACATAGAGAAGAATGAGCATTTAAATTCAAACTAGACGGATTCTCACTTGATTGGAGCTCTTGAAAATTGGCATCTTATTAAAATAACTTTGCATCCCATTTAAATTCTAATAATTTTAAAATAAACAGGCCCCCTTTAATTTGCACTTTACTAAATACCGGAGTAAAATAGTAAAAACCCTAAACCTTCATAATGTTCATATGAATATTAATCTAACCACAATTGACAAACTTATGCTCCGTACTTCAGAAATCCACGAATAAAAAATTTACATATCATAAATCAAAATTTTTAAATCTCTAAGACAATTAGAAGAAATAAGTAGTATTTAGGTTGACAGAACAAAATCCAAGAAGAAAATTCGATTCGAGA